TTTGAAATGCTCAAACGTCAAAACAAATATACCTAATAAAGAGCAAATTTCTGAGTGATGTCTTTAATCTTATCTTCCATTAGGCTCAGCAATCTGTGGCATTCTGCATCCTACTTGCTCCATACATTTCACTACCCTCATGTGCTTTGCATTCCATTGCTCAGCCAACTTCTGCTCCTTGCTTTTTGCATCTCTCCTCATCCCTGCTAACTGTTCTCTGCATTCTGATTCAATTCTATCCAAAGCAGCATTCTGTTCCACCCAAAGAGCCTTAATCTTTGCCTCAATGTCATCCATTATCAGGGGATACAGATGCCCGTATTCTAGAAGGAAGCTAGTTGTACAATATTTTCTGTGCATTCTGTTTTGCAGTTTTGGACAGCTGTACATAAATTAGTGGTTTTGCTGATTCTCATATCAGAATTGGTTAAGCTAGGTGTCATTTTACTTTTCTTTGGTTGTCTATATAAGCCTTGTTTCTGTGCGTACCAGTAATTAGAGAGAAATACAATCTCATTTTTCAGTATTCTGTTTCCTCCTCATGAAGAGGCCGGCACAATAATATTCACAATATTAGCAGGCGGCTTGAAGAGGCTGGCAAAACAATACTCACAACATCAGCAGGGTGATTGTGAAGGGTGTTGTTCTTTCACTAGTTTCTCAGCAAAAGTCTCTAGTATATGATCATATTTGGTGTCATCAACTGGGCCAATTGCTTTGTGAATCTCTTGTTTCTCCCTTTGTTGTTTCTCTTTGAACACCTCCCACCACTTGCCTAACCTCTTGGCAGTTCTACCAGGAACTTCTGCAGCGATTTTCTTCCACTTGTTGCCATGTTTCGCTTGAAGCCATATCACAAGACACTGCTCTTCTTCGGTTAGAGAGCCTTTCTTGATGCCAGGCTTGAGGTAGTTCTTCCACCTTTCCAAGCATGACTTTGCATCCCTGTTAAGAGGCGTGTTCATGCCCTGAGATACAAGATTCCATTCCCTAGGACCATACTGTCTCACATAAGCACATAATAATGCATCCTCTTCAGACCTCCAACGTTGCCTTTCCTTCATTTCCATGTGCAAATCCCACAGCCCATTTCTTGAAACTTGAACTCTTCATCATGTATCTGCATAATTCATTGACAATAGTAAAAACACAATGCAGAATTGCTATGAAAGATCCCCCTTGTCTTCATAATAATAGTACACACCATTCTCAACATCAAGCAACATCATCTTCATAAATGTATGTACATCTAGTCAGGACAAGCCTAGTCCAAAAACCGGTATTTGCACTTATTATAAAATTGAACATTTAACCCTGAACATTATCAACATATAGTATCCATAAAAATATATGCAAAATCTATAAAGTACCAACCAAAGAAACATATAGAAAGACACATCATCATATTACACTCACTTTAAGAAATGTCTATTTTAATTGCATTGTAGCTATGAAACCCACCTAGACACGTGAAGATTGAGTATAATAAGTTAAAGACAGTTTAAACTTTAAAGAGCTACTTTGTCAAGATCTTATATAAAGGCAGTTGCCAAAAACAATCACATCACTCAATAAAAAAGAAATTATCTTCATTACTTTTTATTCCATTTTTTGACGAGACCAAAATACACTACTCAAGAAATTCAACTCAATTGAGTTATAGGAATTTCAGGATATTACTGGCATTTGGAATCTAGAATTGAAACAGAATATCCAAAAGAAAAAAAAAATAAAGTTCTTGTACCAATATATTTTCACGAACCCTCGTTGTCTCTCTACGCCTTTGAAGAACCTTAACGCCGATGCAGGGTCCCCCTTGTGCCGCAAGAGGGTATCCAAGACCTCATTTTGCGATGGAACAACCCAAGAGGGTTCGACGGCAATTGTCTCGGGAAAATTGAAACTTAAAGTGATTTTCCCGGGAAAATTGTCAAGGATAGGGGTTGGTGGTCCAGGGTTTAGTCGGGATAGCTAAGCTGCGCAAGATACATCCCATGCACACAATGGGCGAGACTGAGACTTATAAACTGAGCTATCCCCAAGGACTAATCCTCAAGCTTTTACACAAGGGGGCCTTCCCTGGCAGTGTATTCCATATCGTACCCTTAAAACATTTATGCAAATGATGCATGTAATTCAAGACTTTATGCATTCTCATATCACCTTATCATGTCTCATTATCGTATAACATTATCATGTCTCATTATCATATAACATCATATCTCATGTCTCATAGTCACTTTTCACATTATCTCATCATATTCACATAGTCTCCACATAGTACTTTAACTCATATCAAAACTTGTCTATTTTCAAAATTAAACACATATTTAGACTCAACAAACATCACAAAATACAATAGAAAACTCAGAAGGTAAAACAGAAAATATTAGGAATTTGTCTGTTTCTCATAGGGTTCCCACATGAACTCACAAAATACTCTAATTCATACAATAAACATTTAAAAAATGCAATTTATTCACATAATTACCTATTCAAACAATCTCCTCTTACAATCACCAATGCATTCTCTTAGGGTTTCCCATAGGAACCCATAGAGATCTCAAATCATACAATTATTTACATATAAGAAGAGCAATAAATGAAACAGGTACAATTGGGAAAAATCCCTCATACATAAGCATACAACAAACATAGGATTGGGGGCTAATCCCACTACCCAACATACATTCCCACACCTAGAGCAAGGTTTCTCACTCCCCTTGGTTATCCTTGGTCTTCAGAGAGTGTAGAAGAAAAAGAAGTTAGAAGTGAAAAATACGCTTTTGGTAGTGCTAGAGTGTGCTATTTATAGACGTCAAGAGTGGCCAGAACGGCCCGTTTCGGATCCAGAATGGTCCATTCTGGATTCATTCGTCATGTATTAAATTCGCATTTAGATCGACGTATTCTTAAACCAGAACGACCCATTCTGAAGTTGAGTTTAACTCATAATGGCCATGTTTGGAACGACCCGTTCTTAAACTAGAACGACTTGTTCCCAACTAGGGTTATAGGCCTTTTTAGTAGTTTGGAACGACCCGATCCAGTTTGGGAACGATCCGTTTTAGGTTACTAAAATTCAAAATATTATACAAAATAATTTTCATAAATATTTATTATTTAATTAAAATACTCATAATTATTAGAAACCTCTAAAATATTCTATAAAACCTATTTAATTAATTAAAATAGTTATAAGAAAATAATCTCCATAAATATAAAAATAAATAATAATTAACTATTATATTAATAGAAAATTCGGGATGTTACACTTTTGGCTTGCACAATATTCTCCATGTCATCGTTGGCCAAAATCGTAAACTATTGTTTACTAAGTATTCTTTACACAAGTCTCTTTAGGTTCAAGGTAAATGTAAGGTGGTGTTTACAATATAACTCTGAGAGAATGTAAGTTTAGCTCACAAGGTTGCAACATGCCAAGATAAGGATAAGTATATATAAGCTTAGAACACTTGATGGAGGCTCATGGGCCCAATCACTAGGGCCATGGTCAAGAGGTTGGAGGAAGAATAGGCCAATAATTAATCAAGAAAAGCCCATATCGCTCTTTAGTTGGGTTGTGCACTAAAGCTCATGTAGAGTAGGGTTGGCCCATATTGGGCTTGTAATTTTGTTTGTGGGCCTTATATTTTGGCCAAGTAGCATAGGATTTTGGGCCTTGTAATTTTTGGCCATTTCTAGACTTTAATTAAGCACATGTGTCATCTCATTTACATGTAATTTAGCTTGCATTTAGTTGACATTTGAACCATGTGACCGACCAAGTGGAGTGGCACACATGGCCAAATCACAAGCAAATGAGACTTGCACATGGCCGAATCCAAATTTGAATATTTGAATTCAAATTTGGTGCCTAAGGTTAATTTAAACCATACCATAGTTTATCTTAACCTTAAGTTAAGGCTAGCTTCTCCTACATACTTCTTAGGCCTATATATTCTCTTTGGCCCTGTACTCTCATTACTTTTGACATTTGAATGAGAATTAATCTTTTTTAGAAATTTTAAATTCTCCCCACTGAAAGTCACCAAGGAAAAATTTCTTCTCTTAGTTTCCTTGAAACTTCCTCTTTGTAGCTTTAAGTTAGAACAACCTTCTAATCCGAGAAAGCTAGGTCATCTTGGAAGCAGCATTCTTCTTCTGGCACTGAATCTCCTCCTTGAATTCTTCTCAAGGATTTTGCAAGAAGAAGTTAAAGACTATTCCATGAAGTTTCAAGTAACCGAAACTTTAGCAACACTATTCATCCAGTGATGATAACTTAAGATTTTACAAAATTAAATAGAAAGAATGATTTAACGGAGTTTTAACACAACTAAAGTGTAGAAAATTTGGTACTTCAACTCCTCAAACGATCTTGTATTAATAGACTTTAAGATTGTATTCAATGTGAGTTGGTAGCCTTTTAAGTATTTGCTAAGAACTAAGTACCTTCCTTCCTCTTGACTAAGCTCCCGAATCTTCCAATGGGGTGATATTTACTGTGTGTTTGGAACAGCGTCAAAACGTGATTTTTTACGTTTGACTGGAAGGAGAAAATAATAGCTTCTCCTTAAATTGCTACTTGGACGTGGAGAAAGACAAAGAAATTGAGTTTCAAAATTAAAACCAAACACACACTTATATAAAAATACTCTATCATTCAAGTCGAAAGGTAATCTAAGTCCAAGTAATGTAATAGGGTTATTATGCGTATGTACCTTATGTGCTCCTTTTCCTTAATTTTATATTGTCAAAGACATTATCTTTATTAATAGATAATTATGAATAACATTAATTATAGCACAATCTTTAATAGAGATTACAAATACATTAATTGTAACCCAACTTTTAAAAATTACATCATCCATCTCATAATAAATGTCATTCTATATTATTTTATTTAGATTAAAATAAACTAATAAATCAACGAAAGAAAATAATATTTTATAAAAATAACTTTGTGATTAATTTTCTCTCCTATTAACAAAGTAACACCATAATCAATTTCTAAAATATATTATGAGAATAAAAATAATTAATATTTCAATAAAAAATTAATATGAGATTTATTTTAAAATTTAATTTTTTTAAACACGATATTTATTATGACAAAGTTCTTACGTGCTACGTGTTAGTTTTAACTGGTTTTGATGGGCACAAGAAATCTGACCATGCCAAATTATGGTGGCATCCAGCTCACAATGGTCAAATAGCAATTTGGCCTTATCCGGAATATAACAGTCGGGTAGCTAGTAGCTATTCAACGTATATATCCGATACAACTACGTTTTGGGTCGATCGTCCTTTTTATTTCCAAATTTCTCATAAAATTAATTAACCATTGCATAGTTTCTTTCAGCACAAAGTCGTCATTCTATGATTATTGATTAGAGAAATTACATTAAAAGCAAAACATCAAAATATTTAGAGTCGACCAATTAAGCTTATAATTAATTAAATTCTATTATTGAAATTGTACCTGACCTAGGATATTTCGGTAAATTTGTTGCTTCTCTCATGTCTTCATCTTCCATCTCCTTGACCAAGGGAAAAATAAGATACTTGTATATAGGATGGTAGCCGACTAGGCCGAATACCTGAATTCCCGACCCAACCGACCCGACCGACCCAATTAATTATCCCGAGACTACCGACCACTCGCTACCTGAACCGAACATGTCGGTGTGCTCGGCCGAGTGGCGAATTTATGTTAGGGCAATTAAGGAGACATTAATTAATGTAATGTACCGGTTTAGTCCCCTAATTTTTCGGGGCCCAGTCCTTAATCACGGCCCAATAAGAGTCACTATAAATAGGACATCAACGAGGTATGTAACCAACTTTCAACTACTGCATTTATTATGCCGAGCACTTACTTGAGCGTTGGAATGTCTTTGCAGGTACTCCCCCCTCTCACTTCGGACTGCTCGGAAAGGAATGAGAAGACCTAGACCCAAGACCCGACCCGCAACAGAAGGACAAGTAAAGTGTGTATCCTAACACAGGAACATTTGGCGCCCACCGTGGGGCCGAAGAGACGTTTTCAGCCCCTTTTTAAATACGACTGAGACCGAGATATAGTAGTAACACGCAAAGGACCTTCGACATCGACTCAACCGATCTCTAACCCCGAGAACAATCCTGTCATGACCGGCCAAGAACGATACCTGTACGGAATGCCTCAGACACAATCGGAGCCTGTGATACAAGAGGTCCGGTCGGACGCCGACCGAGCCCAGCCCAGCCCGGCCTCCACAATGAATTCCGCGCGTTGCGCGAGGATATGGCAACAATACGTAGACAGAGAGAAGCCGATGCTAGGGAGTTGGCTGAACTGCGTTGACAGAACGTCGAGCTCCGAAGTCTGAACCAAACCTACGTGCCATCCACTCCCACACTCCTAGAGGAGTCAGCCTATCATGCCCCCACCGACCAAGTCACCCGAACATCAGTTACCTCTTTGATAGGCAACAAGGCCGACACCACCACTCACTCCCTAAGACACCCTTTCTCTCGAAGGATAATGGAGGCAACCCTGTTAGACCATTAGAAGAGCCTTCCAATCGAGAAGTGCGATGGGTTTACCAACCCCGAGGAGCACTTGAACGTTTTCCTGACACAAGCGACCCTCTCTACTCAAGATGACTCGGCCTTGGCCGGATATTCCCCACATCGTTGAAAGGGAGGGCTCTGAGTTGGTTCACGCGATTACCGAGTTCTTCCATCGATTCGTTTAATGAGTAGTCGTCCCAATTTACGCTGCAGTTCGCGACGAGCAAACCGTACAAGACGACCTCGTTAGCACTGGCGGGGTTCGCCAAGAGAAAAAATAAAGCTTGAGAAGCTTCATGGACCGATTCAACAAGATTGCCATGGAAATCAGTAATCTCAACCCGGTCGTGGCACTGGACCGGTTGAGCACCGCCCTGAGGCCGGGGCCTTTCGTCAACAGCTTGTGTAAGAAACTGCCCGGTGATATGAATGATCTCCGACGCTGAGCCGAGAAGTATATGCAAATGGAGGAGCTGGCGGAGACAAGAAATCAGGCTAGGGCCGAAGAGGGTTACAGCTGAAAAGAATCTGGTCGAGAGCCG